TAAAAACTCCATTATTCCCATTTTAGCTGCACTGACAGTGGTCCCCCCATGTGGGTTTGGAATGACAACAGGGAAGCACTTGCCAGGCAGATATAACTCTCTTGAAATTAAAGCAGTAATAAACTTTGATACTTGTCACATGCAAGATCACAACCACAAAAGATGGATCGATGTTCTAAGTCTGCCAAGATACCAGCTGGGCACAATTACTTTTCTGCTTTTATTGTCAATCTATTTAATATGCAACACACCCTATTACCACCGTACAATTCAAGAGTAACCTGGCCCAGAAAAAGTTAGACAGTACATTAAACCCCAAGAGGTTCTGAAGTATGTTTTCTCACGTGGAATAGTATTTCTCAATCCCAAATTTGATTCTATTCTAAATGATTCAATAGCACATTACTTCACCTAAGGCATCAAAGTGTCTATCCCATTCTTGCACAGAAACTCTTTAAACACCACACTTCCCAGCAATATATTGAATATTTATTACATGTAAAGTTTTGTGAGAATTTAAAGAATCTTAATCGAGGAAAAAAACGCATCAAAAAAAAATCTGCTTTTACATTTGCTTATAAAGATTCCTTAACAGTTATTTTGTACATCTATTATATTTATGGCACTTGAAGTCAATGTTCCAAAAAAAAAAAAAAAATTTGTACTTTTCCCTGAAAGTGATTACTTTTGCTCCTGACTTTTGCTGCAAGAAGAATTAGTTTAAAAACATCAGAAAAATACTAAATTTCTCATTTAAATATCCATTATTAGATAAAAAAACCCCATACGGAACACCTACTAGATCCCAGAATCTGTACAAGGGGGGGTTTTGGAAAGTTTGAGTCACCTAAATACACACTCATGCAATCTCTCAAGGAAGTGTTTCTTAATCGTCAAGAAGATACAAGACTTTCCAGATGGGGCAATTGATGCTGGGATCTGGCCATTTTGACCTTAACTCACTCATTTCTGAACAGCCCTCATTGTTCCCATGTTTCCTGTTATTTGCTCATTCCACCAATATCCTATTAAAGTGGAATTATTTCCTGTAAGCATCATTTTCAGATGAAAAAATTGTCTTCTTCACTTAAAAGATAATGTTTCTTAATGTTTGTATTATTTAGCAGGCATTTCCCTCCAAGCATTTTTTCCCTGATATTCCAATTTAATAACTTACAAAATTTAATGTACTTACATGCATTTAGGACGGAATGTGCATCATTTCCATAGTATTACAACCATCTGGGGGTGGGGGGTGGAAACCAAAGCCACCAGAACCCAAACTAAATGAACCATAGGGCCTTAAAAAAAAACCCTCTTGAAGCCCTTTTGCAGGAGTCTGAATTTTTCTATTGCATGTGAAAAAATTTAATAGAGATTAAGGAATGTCAACAAAGCAGGACAATATATGAAATAAAAAGGGGAAATTAAAACTTAGTTATAAGTAGCCAATTTTAATGCTTCAGGCTTCGAATGAGTTGTTTGTGCTTCCTGACCTCTACAACCCTTGGTATTCCACACCCCAAAATGCTTTATTTATGCTGTGTGGTTTCTCTTTCCTTCATCCAAATCTCTGACTTCGTTCCCAGCAGTCAGACACAACACTGCAATGTCCCCATCCTGCCCCACAAACCATCACAGGTTTGACTGATTTTAGTTATTGCCTAAATATTTTACCAAGTGCTGTTTATCAAGTGACTTCACTGCTGCTGGGGAGCACAAGCCTTGAGCAGATGCTGAGCAATGAGTTCCCTTACCAAACCCAGACCCTGAGCATTGAGCACTGACAACTTCAGTGGGATGTTAAATCTGCTTGCTTGATTCTAAGCCTCCCTCGCAGCCAGGCCCTCCCCTGACTGACACTTTTTCAAGAGTAGCAGCATGACAGCAAGGATCCTGGCTGTGCTGGAGGGCTGAGAAACCAGGGCTCTATGTGCTTGATTCCACTGCCATGAATTTGGCAGGTGTACATGGAATACACTTTACCACTCAGAAGGCAACCACTTCCTAAAACCAGTACTTCCATCCTTTCCACACCCTGCTTTAGCAAGCCCTATCCTACACCATTTTTAAATTGAATGGTTCCACGCCAGCCCATTACCCTTCATAGCTCAAGGGCCTTGAGCTGAAACAGTATCATTTATTTAGATCAGTATAATTTATTCATTACTCAGGAATATGTGATTTTATGAGCTGGCAATCAAAAGGAACCCAGGGATGCAATGCATATTCAAGAGTTGGCCTTCCTTGTCTCTGGAACATGGGAGAAATCCTACCCAGCCTACTCGAGGTCATGTGCCTCAGTGTTTGTGAGCAGGTGGAGAGAAAAGTGGGAATGTGGAGCCTCAACTTGCTCAGAAACTTAAATTGAAAAGATCTTCCATCCAGTCTCTAGGAGAATTTTGTTGTATTAGTCACAGCCTAGGGAACAAGCCACTAGAGGACAACATGCCACTCTGACCTCTCTCAAATCCTACTGTCTTACAGCTTTTCCCTTATGGTTTTATCCCTCTCCAGCAACAGAGATGATTCTGGTGAGGATCCATCCATCGATTTATCAATTCACATATTGAAACACCAAAAATCATGAGATTTGTTGCAACATCCCTTAAATTTACGAGCCAAGGTTCTTAAACACCCCTGCAGATTTAACCAGTTTCATTGCATTTCTGGACAGAGCTGTGCTGTCACAGTAGTGACAGTTTGGGAGTATGTGTCCAAGTTTAAGTTTCATCTGGTGTTTACAGAACCAGATTTACAGCTAGTGTAAATATAGCTGTCACTGTGCTTTACATCATGGCATAACAGGCAGCTAAAATGTCAGAAAAAGCTACATCTCAAAAACACACCAGACAAATCAAAGGATCATCAATACACCTCCTTGCAAGTGGGTCTTCTCCACGTGGGATCTTTGTATGAGCTTTATTTTTACAGGAAATCACTCAAGGACACCAATGCAAGTGCAATGTCTGTGTAGGACAGTGGGGCTTTTTTTCCTGAGGGAAAGCCAGCCTGGTTAGAAAGGAACTTTGCTCAAATCACAGAAAACTTGGGCTCTACGAAGAGTAAACTGCCTTCAGCAGAAAGAAGTAAGCATTTTCAGGCTCTTGTATTAGCTAGGATCAAATCTTGGGCCTGACAAAAGCCAGAAAACAATGTGCCAGGATTGTCCCTAGAAACCTGGTTTCTATATTGGTATTTTAAAGAGGCTGGGCATTTAAAAAATCTCTCTAAAGACTCTCCTCATCCCTAGGAAGAACAGTGTGTGCCCCACTCATTCAGAAATAAGGGAATTGGAGCCTCCTGACAGTTTACACTCACACAGCTCTCGGAAGAGCAAGCTCAGTGACTTTCCCACCAAATCTGATTCATTTAAGTAGGTGGTGAATTGAATCTGCACATACTAGGCTTACATCTGTTTCAGAAGAAAAAACACTGTGTAAGGTACTAACTCGATCATTTGACTTTCCCATACACACAAAAATTATCTTGAAATACTAAGCCATTACACCTTTCACAGTAATGTGTTACTTAACCACACTTCATTTGAATCCAGTACAAAAGTTCAGGTGATTTGTATTTCACTGAAGACAGACAGCTATGCTATAGCACTTGCTGAAGAGCCACCAACTGCTACCAAGTAAATCTGCTAAATTTCAAGCAGAGGTTTAAAATCTAAGCTCTGGAAGAGGCAATACACATTTTTCCTGCTTTGTGTTTCAGAAAATCAGTTTATATGAAGCCACTCCATTGCTCTGTACATCAAACTAGAGGCACTGACCTTACAGGTGGGGCTCCTGATCCGGGAGAGCAGAGCCAGGATGGTGACAGCAACAAAACCCATCCCATGATCCTCAGCCAAGTCAGCCCAGGAAATCCAAACAATAACTCAGCAAAGGAAGGGGAACAGATATCCTTAAACCAGTTCTACCCAAACCTGAGGCTTCAGGCTGGAAGAACCTTGTGGGGCTTCTGGGCTGCAGCTCTATGCCAGGTGAAGCTGGTCAGGGTAATTCCAGCCTGGTCCCACCCACTCACCTGGATCTGTCTGAAAAAACCCAACAACCTCCTGACTTTGGTGCTGCTGTCCCAATTAAGCACCTGTGTGTGGCCCTCACAAGGCAGGACAGGCTGTTGTGGTGTGTGGCTCTTCCTCAGGGAAGTGATTTTCTTGTTGTAGCCCTGTTTGCATTCTCCCTGCTGCCACTCACGCAGAGAAAGAAAGGCACACCTGCCCAGGTGGGATTGCTGCCCCACATTTGTGACTTCAGCTTTCCTGGTAGTGCCCTTGAAAGCACAACTTGAGCAAAAGTATTAGAGCCAATGTCATTCAACTCAGAATCCAGAGTGAGACCTGAATGTCACTGCCTAGAAAGGCATTGGCACAGCTGGGCAAACTGATGTTCCACAACAAAATCCAAAATTCACTTACTGAAGCTCAATTACATCCCCTCTGTAGCATCTAGTAAAAAAAAGTGCATTACAAGATTCAGCTCTTGAAACCAGAAGGAAAAAATGCAATTATATTGCATGTAATGAAACAAATAACTTTGATACTTTGACTGGCACAGATTGTTTTTCTGCCACACACCTGGGAATTATTAATAAAGGTTTTCGTATACACATGTTCAATCTCCTGCAGAAAAGCAGAAATTACCATGCAAATAATTAAGCCATTACATTCCTTCTAATCCACCTGAAATTAGTCTAGAAAGGAAAAAATCAATTTGTTCCTTTTTCTTAAAAAAAGAAATAGAGAAAGAAACTTTATACCTTGTCAAAAGAAAATAAGCTTTTTGCAAGGGTTTCTTTCCAGTGTTCATTTTAAAAGACTCATTTATGTAGACAGTATTTCAGAGGAGAGAAGATGTATCATCATTTCCTTTTGTTGTTGTACATGAATATATTCTTCAGCCTGTCAAACATCTAAAGGGTAAGCTGAGATTCCCAAAACCCTACAAGCCTTACTTATTCAGAAAATTCTTACAGATTCTTTTTTTTTTTCCTGAAGATATGAAGATGGTGAAAACAGACATCAGAGGAAAAGGATCAGTCAGTTTTCCAAATTAAATAGTGACAAACCATGTGAGCAAAGGGATGAAATAGCATAAGATTCCACTCTGGCCATATTGAGATTACCATGCACTTTAAATTTGGCAAAATTTGAGACATCTTCCAGGCCACACACTTTAGCCTGTCACATTTGACAAATGGAAAATAATTCTAGGAAAAATAGATAAATAACAGCAGTGTTGCTATTGGCATTTTAAATTTGAGATGTGTGTTTTTCAGCAGGTTTTTAGTTCCAGAATTGGTTAATTCAAATATTCAGTTTTAATGACATGCCTGCACTTGTTCCAGGGAACTGAAGATCATGTTCTCTACTAACCAGGGAAGTCCACACAAATGGAATGGAGGTGCTCTGCTCATCTAGGGAAGGGTCTCCCTTGGGTACCTGCATGACAGTGTGAAAAAACCATTAAAATAAACCATCACTTAAAACAGATACAATCCTTGCCAAGAACGTTAATTACAAAACTGACTTCACTTCCCTTAAAATTATATAAAGGACTTAATCCCAGTATTTTAGTAAGTTATTTCATCTCCCATAAAGAAAATACCACACATTTTTCAGAAAGGCTCCTTTACACCATCAACCTACACCTTTCCTAGGGGCTTTAGATGCTGCTGCTTGTACTGTGAGCACTGCAAACTTTTTTAAAAGCTGTATGTGTTGTAGATCAAGTTACATCCCAGACTACTTGGATACTGCTTTATGAAGAACTCCACATATATGAATGAATTTTCTTTTTTTTTAATTGAAGTAAGAGCTGCCAAATCCCATGCTGGTATATCCAGGTGTCTGTCCATCCTTTGCACTTGTGTACATAGAAAACACATCTGGAAATATGGTCTGTGTTGGTTTTGCCTATGGCACAGCACACTGGGAACCACACTGGGCACTTCAAAAGCAGCATTTGTTTATGCCATAGGACCATGGAGATTTGGGTTAGAAGGGACCTCAAAGCTCACCTCATTCTACCTCCCTGCCATGGGCAAGGACACCTTCTAGAATCCCAGGTTTCTCCAAGCCCCATCCAACCTGGCCTTGGACATTTTCAGAGATGGGGCAGCCACAGCTGCTCTGGGCAGCCTGTGCCAAGGCCTGCCCACCCTCACAGGGAAGAATATATGATTCCTTTGCATTTTCCAAAGAAATATGTCATAGAAATATTCATATAATTAATCATTGTTACCCAGAGAGCCCAGACAGTGACAGTGACAGCCCTCAAATCCTGCCTTGCTGTGCAGTGTCCTTAAACATCAGACTTGGACTAAAGCTCTCACCTTGTGTGGGTTCTGAACCAGCTCACAAATTTGGGATGGTATTTCTCTCATCTGTTCATCAGCTGAGACAAACTAGATGATTTCTTGAGTGCCCCTGCTCTATTTCCATAGAAACAGAAAGTTTGATTCATTGCTGAAATTTTCAAGGGAGTGCCAGGGTAAATCATGACTTGGGAAGTCCGAGAAGTCTTAGGAATCCATTCCAACAGTGTTTTGGGCTATGCTTGGTGTGATATGTCACTCCTAAACTGTGTAAGGAAGGCTTTCTGTTTGCTTCAACTATTGAATTAAAAATTGAACTGTCTGAGAGGAGAGAGAGTTGAACTGCTGTGACTTTCTCTTCTCTGAGGAAATAATAAAAATTTTGTTAACTTCGTTCAGTGGGATCGATAGCAAAGTTCTTGGTTCTTAGGCTTATGGAAGAAAGTTAGCCAAGGGCAGCAAATGGATTATAACCTCACCTTGAGCTCTACTTCCCTGCTACATTAAGCTGCGTATCCCTGTGAATGGATATCCCACTTTGTGCATGTTGCATAAAATTCAAGGAGTGAGACCACCTGTGCAGTACAGAATCCAACACAAGGCTTCTTGGGGGAGTCACTCCAAAACTTCCAGAGGGTCTGAGGTGAGGCTGACTGGCTGGGAGTTTCCACATCCTCATTCCTTCCATTTTTGAATGTTTGGGTGTTTCATTTGATGCCTCAGGTTTTAGCTTTCATATTTTTCAGATTCTCTGCTGCTCTAGTGTGTGGGTCTGAGCTTCATATGAGGGGATGGTGAGCTCTCTTCACAGAGCAGGGAGACAAAACAATTCCTTCTCCAGCTGGGGACCAAGGACAAATGATCCAAATCTCAAGCCCAAGAGCACAAACAATGTGGGCTGAGGAGAGAAAAACAAGGAGGATGTGACTTCATAACCCAAAGCTATAATTGTAACTCCAATATGCAAATGGAGCAGAAGTTATAAAAGTCAGAGACCCCATGACCGGTCATGCATTTTGTGACCATTTTGGGTCCATCTTGGGTGTAGCCCTGGCTGGGCTCTTGTGCTGCCCGAGGTGGATCCATTGAGGCCTTTTAATAAATCCCTGCCTTATTCTTTAACTCTGCCTAGTCTCTGGTTTAGGTCAGCCTTCACAGGGCATCAGAGTCTCTGGGGAACACCTGCAACTGCTGAGACCCTTCCAATGCTGGGGAGCAGCTTTGAGGTCTCTGTCCACTGTTAAACTGTGGAGGGCCACATTAGGCAATAGGAATCACATTAGGCAATAGGAATGCTTTCTCTGAGCCTCATGTAACATGTTGGGTATTCTAGATTCCAAGCTTTATCCTTTCCCACACAGATATTAACACCCACTGCAGTAATTTCTGCGTATGGAGTCTCACGTCTGAGGTTCTGAATCATCGGGTAAGGATGAGTCAGAGAAATATTGCTGCTTTAATAGACACAATCAACAAGGGGGTGAGGGGCTGAAGAGGAAATCTCTTATTGCTAAAAGTAACAACATCTTTCTTCATAACTACTGAGATTTAATTGGGGAAAAAAATCAGCAAGTTATGGGTAGCTATGGCAACTTTCACGAGTCTGAAAAGGAAAAATGGATCGAGCAGAAAAATAGATTTGCAGGGAGATTTGGAATAAATAAAATTGAGATTTTCCAAAATCAAGTGCACTTCCATTTAAAAAATGATCCTTTCAAGAGGAAATTAAAGCTCTCCCGAGAACCTATTTTTTTAAGCATACAATCAATTTTTATAACTGAAAACCTGTCAAGGGAAAATGACTCCCTTTTCTACAGCAAGTGAGAGAAAGAAGAGCTTCAACAAGAGTTTTTTAGCTGCTTACAAAACCAGGCTTTTGCTTTAGATTTAATCCTGTAATCACACACAGTATTTACTTGTAGTTGAATTGACTGAGGAAAGTGTTACTGTTAGGCACTTGCCTTATCTAAAGAAGCATTAAATCTGCTGGATGTGATGAAATCTGTTCCAAAGCATTTATCAAACACTGTGGAAATCGGCAAGATTAGTGACACGGCAATGTCATCCTTTGTCTAGCCAAGGGTAAAAGGTTCTTGGAAATGGGAGAAGCAGAGAGTATTTGCTTCAATAAGTAACATCAGAAAACTGTGACAGTAGAAAAGGCTGAAATAACAGATGCAATAATTCTTTGGAATACACAATCAAACCATTTGCAGGGTTTCCAGGGCACTCTGGCCACTCTCCCAATGGAGCAGCCATTCCCAGGGCTTGGGCACTGCTGCCCTGGACACGGGCTGTCCCTCACCATGGCAAATGCCAGCTGAGAGGAGAGAGAGCACCTTCCTACCTGAACCCCTGCTGGCAGGGAGAGCAGGGATGGAGCACTCTCCTCCAGCCCAGCGTGCAGGAAGAGCTGAAAGCCACTTTGTCCCCGCCAGCAGACACTGGCAAATGGCACTTTGTCACTGTGGAAGAGCTGGACAGGTTCTTCACCTGCATCCTTGTGTGTCACAGCTGAGCCAGAGATACCTGGAGGTCCAACCTCCCCATTAGCACTACTCAGGCAAAGCCTGTTGTCTCCCAGCATTGCTGGGTTTGCTGCTCTGCAGCTCAATCTCGTGTCTAGGTAGAGGCAGATCACTTGGGAGCTGGTGTTAGAAACCTTCTCTGTGTCTTATAACGCCAAAGCAGTTTTATCAAAGCATAAATAAAAAAAATCAGCTTTCTTCTTACCTGTTTGGGAGTTGGTGGTGGCATTATTCAGTCGCCAGCATGCTTGTGTTAAAAATCAGGGATATAGGAAATCAAGGAAATTATTAAAAAAAAAAAAGAGTAAAGACAGTAAGAAACTGGGAATCTTAGAGAATAAAAGACAGATAAAACCAGATCTATGACAGAAAGACTAAATGTAATACTTTAGAACAAGAAATGATGGAGCAGCATGTACTTTTTTTTCTAGCTAAAAGAAAAAAAAAACCACTTTAAAACACAGTCTTTTGGCAAAGGGAAGGTCTGTGTCCAGCATGACCTACAATGTCCCCCCCTGGGGGCCCTTTAAAGGCATGTTGCATCTGTCTTACAGAGGCAGCAAGGTGGGTTTCCAGAAATCTGTGGGGCTAGACATTAACTTTAAAAGCCTCTAATGCTATACACAATAATTCCCCAACAACACAAATGAGAACAGCAGTGGTGCAATGACTGCACTTCTGGCTAAAGGTGATAACGGCACTGTTGCTTCATTTAGGTACAAAATTACTGCATTTCCTATTTTTTCTGAAAAACTTTTTAGGAAAAATGAAAAAAAAAAGTTAAGCAAGATAAGAATCAGAATTAATATATTGAAAACCTAGTAAAATAATCATCACTGGCTGCTTTTTTCCTAAAGTGAAATAATTTTGTTGTTAAGTGTTCAACAAAAGTGAGCCACACAGCATAGGAATAAAATTCCTTACAGCTGCACTGCCTCCCAGCTATGCAGATCTCTTCACTTCTGTGACACAGTTACATTTTATTTTATTAAAAGAGTGTTCTGTCCGTATTCAATAACCATGTAATTAGGTATTCTGACTGACTTCTCCCATTCTGGAATCGATTGAGCAATTTTATGCCATAAATTCCAGCTGATTCAGTGGGTGGTGAAAAGGCAGTGATTTTTCCTATTCATCTAGAAATCTCAGGAGATGGCTCTCCTAAGGACATTTGGATTGTCCCACACTATTTTAAGGTTGAGGTGCCCATTGCACTGCATTTTGGCAGGTACAAAGTCCCTCAAAATCCGTTTTATTTGTCTCTACTCCTCTGCTTTGACATGTGAGTATCACCCCATGCCAGCAAAGCAAGGATGTCTGTGATGCTGCTGCAGTCATGCAGAATGAGGGCTCCTAATAAAAGCTGCAGCATGTGTTGAGATACACAGTCTGCTCTTTTCAAGCTACTGCTGCTTGGCACCCATGAAGTCCTAGTGAACTACTCCAACCCCCCAGAGCAGGAATTCACCATCCAAACAGATGGCTGCAACTGCAGGCAGCCAAGAGACCACGTTTCTTTTCCTCATGACGTGGGGGTGTTGACAGCATTTCCAGACATAATTCCAAATGGCTGTCAGTTCTGAGCTTCTTGTCTAAA